TCCCAGCCCAGTGGGGAGGATGGAGGTGAAGCATGAAGGGAAGGCCCAGGGGCCATGCTGGTCTCTGAGAAGGGGGGGAAGCAGACCGGGCTGCCTGCCTGCGGCTGCAGTGCTAGGTGGTGTGGCCATTCCCAGACCCTGCTGTATCCCAGCAGCACTTCCAAGTGCACTCGCCACTTTTCACCCGTCTTATTCTCTTCAGAGTTGGCTTCCTGTCTGTACTTCGCATGTTCCTTACATCATGGGCCAAATAGAACTGTCCCCATTTCTCAGATGGGGACATAGAGTCCATAAGAGCTTCAGGGTCCAGGGTCCCTCAGGTGCAGGGGGGCAATCAGACCCGGAGCCCAGGACTCCTGGCCCCATTCAGGGTGTTTGCATGCCTCACTGGCATTCCTCCCTGCCCCTAGCACAGCCCATAGGTGGCAGTAGAGCTGCCTTTACGCCCCCCTTCCCTAATGCAAACGCCTGGGTAGGAAGGACAGACAGATGTTCTTTTCCCTGCTGTCTGCCCCTGCCTGGGCTCTCTGCCCTCTTCCCAGGTTGTGGGCCTCCCTGCATGTGGGTGAACCCTTCTGCAGGGGATGTCAGGCCTTGGCCTAAGCCATTTGCTTCCTACTCTCTAATGGAATCCTCCGTGAAGTAGACGTAAAGAGGTCCTCTAGGAGTAGGTTAATTGAATTAGGGGCCCGGTGCTTGCAGTTTGGGTAACTGTCACAGGTATGGGTGCTGGGGGCCCAGAGGAGGGACAGCTTAGCCTGGGAGTGGCCTTGCTCAACTTTGAAACCTGAGTAGGAGTTAGCAGGCCCACAGGCCAAGGGGCAGCGTTCCAGACAGAGGGAGAGCCTGTGTCCTGGCTGGAGTGCATGGAGGGCTGGGAGGGAAGGCCAGGGGCCCGTTGGGTTAGAGACTGCTTTCTGACCCTGGGAGGGAGGCTGAAATCATGAGCCCACAGCACAGTGGAGTGGTTGGAGGTGGGCAGGACTCTGGCAGGGGAGTCGGGGGCGAAGCGGGTGGCTGACTTAGCTGTGGCCAGAGGAGGAAGGTTTAGGCCTGGCGAGGAGGGGGTGGTTTGAGAGAAGGTAGCAGGGCTTAATGTTTGTTAAGGCTAAAGCCAAAGCGGGGGATTCGGAGGAGGTCCCAGGTTTCTGACTAGAGCCATGGGTGGCGGATGGTGCCACTCAGCACTGGGGAACCCAGGAAAGGGCAGGCGTGGCGGGGAGGGTGACATGCCTGGGGTGGACCCCACGTGGATAAGCCAGCCTGAAACTGTCTGCGTGGGTCTAGAACTCGGGGCCGAGGTCTAGGCTGGAGACCGCTGTGAGGAAGTGGAGGGGAGAGAACCCCCAGCAGACTCGCATTTAAGACTGAGAAGTTGGAAAAGCAGAGAAAGGCTTGGGGGGGTGGGGGGGACGAGGGAGGAGAGCAGCCCAAAGGAAGGAGTGGTCCCAGAGTCTACGCCACAGAGCGGTCAGGAAGGAGAGAACCGGGTCTCAGCAGGAACGTTTGTGATGGGCTGGTGGGGCCCCGTCCTGTTCTCTGGGTTGAGGAGTCAGTGAAGGTAGGAACTTAGACGGAATGTGGTCTACACGCTCTGGAGAGGCTGGGTGAGGAGGAAGAGGTGGGTGACTGAGGGTGGTAGCCAGGCAAACACAAACCCGTGTAAATGCTGAGGGGAAGCAACCAAGGAAGAGACATGGGCAGCCTAGTGTCCCAGTTTGCCCAGCTCTTTCCTGGTTGGCACGGCAAGTCCCACCTCCTGGGAAAACCCAGTCCTGAGAAAACTGGGAAACTGGGAGGGTTGGTCACACTCCTCTCCCCCAACCAGAGAAAAGTTAGAATACAGAAGAGGATGGAGGGAAGATGGGAGGAGGGGGCAGCCCTGGAGAAGACGGTACAGGCACAGAGAAATCTGAGAGAGGCCTCTGCTGTCCCGGTGAAGGGGCAGGGCCATCTGAGGGAGTAAATGGGGAGGGGCAGGTGGCAGGGTGCTGAGGAATGTTGGGCACAGCTGCCCTGAGGCCTTGCTTTGTAGGGGCAGCCCCCACAGGAAGCAGTGGTGGGTCTCTGTCCAGCAGAACTGTGGCCCTACCTTCTCCTTGTGCTGCCCGTCCCTCCCCATAACGCATCTCCTGTCTGTCTCCGCAGCCCCCACCCCGTGAAGCCGCTCAGTGCTGCCCCTGTGGAGGGCAGCCCCGACAGGAAGCAGCCCCGCTCCAGCCTGAGCACCGCCCTGAGCAGTGGGCTGGAGAAGCTCAAGACAGTCACGTCCGGCAGCGTGCAGCCTGTGGCGCCGGCCTCCCAGGTTGGCCAGACTGTGGACACCAAAAGGCTGAAGGTGAGGCCTAGCAGGATGCCATGGGGGTCAATCAGACGTGAGGTGCTGGGGAGAGAGGAATTCAGAAACAGGGTGCTGGGCAGGGTGCGGCAAGGAGCAGGCCTGGCCTCCCGTGCCAGAGCCCTGAAGCCAGTTAGGCCGTTTCTGGCGTTGGCGACAGAGGCAGCTCCGGGGCCTGTGGTGGTGTAATGGGTGTCGGTGGCCAGGCAGGCAGTTAGGCCTGAGGGTGCCCTGCTCACTCTCATTCCATCTGCCCTCAGGATTCTGGTGTGCTAGACCAGTCCGCCAAGTACTACCACCTGACCCACGACGAACTCATCGGCCTGCTCCTGCAGCGCGAGCGGGAGCTGAGCCAGCGGGACGAGCATGTGCAGGAGCTGGAGAGCTACATTGACCGGCTGCTGGTGCGGATCATGGAGACCTCGCCCACCCTGCTGCAGATCCCCCCTGACCCCCCAAAGTAGCCCTCTCACCCCCACCCCCCAGGAGGGTGGGCGTGGACCCATTGCCCAAGCAGGGCTCACATCCTCCCTCCTCCTGCTGAACTCACTCCCTGGGCAGGCGCAGTCTGTCCTCGGTTGTCACCCCTGGCTCCCCCTCCCTCCTGCCTCAACTGGGGCTGCTGGAAGGAGGGCCTTTGGACTCCAATTAGAGGTGGGTCTCACCCACCTGCCTATTTTCCTACCCCTTAGCTTTGGGGGTTCCAGAAATTAGAACAAAGAATTTAACCCTCAAGACAGCAGGGGTGAGCTGCAATTTGATGTGGTATCTGGGACATACTTTATTACCCCACAGGGATGGTCAGCCATTTTTCCCACAGCTAAACGCTTTTCCTCTTCATCTTCCTCCAGCCCCTGGAGGGCTCCTGGTATTACTAGGGCTGTGGCAGGGACCAAGCTGCCGATTTGTCTGTGAGTTATGGGCAACCAGGCACCTGCTCTTCAGCCTCAAGTCTCTCTGAGAACAAGGAGCCTGTATGGTCTAGTGCAGTGGTCGCCAACCTTTTGGACCTCACGGACCACCAGGGGTCCGCGGACCACCTGTTGGCCACCGCTGGTCTGATGTCCTGTCTGCCATGTCCTGAGTCTGTGTGTGTCCAGCTGTTTGAGAAGCGGACGTGGTGTGGATAGAAGGAGATAATGTGCATTCTCCAGGCCACTCCCTGCCCTCCTCTTCACCTGTCCATGAGTGTCATGTGTGAAGGTGTGGAGAGCCCAGGCAGGTATGGAGAGACCACCTCCAAGGTGTGGGCCCCTCCAGGCCTTGGGGCTTTGGGCTGTTTGTTTGGGGATCAAGCCTCCATCCCTATTCTCGTTGCCTGTCCAGATGCCAAAACTCTGTGCTGCTACAGGATTTGAACTTTTGGAAACTGATTAAAACGTGCCTTTTGTGGTGGGGTCAGGGGCTTCTGGATGTAGACCCCGCCCTCTGTTTGGCGCCCCTCTCCCTCCCTGTTGAGCACAAGGGGCTGGATCTGGTAGGATGCTAGGAACGGAAATGGATGAGGGTCAGCCCTGTTGCTGCTCTGCCTTCCCCTAGAGTTAATTTCAGTGAAGGGTCCGGCCAACCTGCTGCTACCCCCTTTACCTACCTGCTGTCTTCTCTTACTCCCTCAACACCAATAGAGAGGGGTCCCGGGGGAAAAAAAACACTACATTCTGGAAGTGGGAGGTCCACTCTGCCTATACTTAGGAAAAAGCCTTCCCATCTGTCCTCTACCTGCTGTCCCAGCCTGTCCCTTCCCCGTAGCCTTGACTGGCTTGGCTGCAGTGCACTTTGAACGAAGTGTCTGCCCTTTGGCCCAGCGCTGGTTTGCTTGCAGTAAACAGCAGGCTTCCTTATGGCATCTGCAGGGGACCTTTGGTGGCTTGGGGCACCCTGCCTTAGCGAAGTTGTGGGGTGAGGAGGTGCTGAAGGAGGCAAGTTTGGACCCAATAAGGAGGTAAGGGCTCCTCGGGGATCCCTCTTTTTCTTGAGCTGGCCTGTGGGGTCACTCTCTGGGATTGCTCAGAAAGCCTCGGAAGGAGATTTGCTCTATGGGGGATGTCTTCCGCCAGGACAAAGCAGAGGAGCCCACATATGGGGGAAAGCCCCTTAACATTATCTACCTTAAAGACACTCATTGAGGAGGAGGAAAGTGTCCACAGGTACCTAGGACTTTGGTCCTGCTTTTGGGGGGTCATTGGATGTTGGATATCCAAGGTATCTCTTCTGGGGGAAGAGGGTCACTCCTGCACTAGGTATTCCTCTGGGCTCTAGTCAGTCCCAGCCCTGAGGCTGACCTTCCACTCATCTTTGTGAACTTCCAGAAAGCCCAGGCCAGGGATGTCTCTGGAAGTTTGGAGTTGAAGCCCAGGTTCTTGTTGGATGTTTCTGCTCCTGGCCATGAGTTGGAAGAGGGCTGCAGGTGGGGTGGGCAGGGAGCAGGCACAGTTCTGCTTTGCCGTTTGTCTTCCTAGTTGTAACTCCTGTTTATAAAGACCTTGCTCTTCATGTTTCGAGCACTTTATGAAGAATAAAAAGTTCACAGACTGCAAGTGGCTCTGTTGTGTTCCTGGTTTGATGAGCATGTGGAGCAGGCTTCCTGGGGAAGGCAGGTGATGGCCTTCTTGGGTAACACTGTCACTGCCCTAACATCAAGGCAGCGGCACAGCATTGCCCAGCGGCCCGGACTCAGTCCTTTCTCACTCCCAGGATACAGTATTGAATACTTGGGGGATACAGAGGATAAAAGACTTGATTCCTGTTCTCAAACCATTTAGCCTTGTCGGGAAAGGTAATCTACAAATCCAAGGTACAAATGGTTCTTCAGGGCTAGCTGGAATTTCCAGCTTTCAGGAGCGTCTGTCTTGTGGTTCAACTATTGAAGGATAAACTGACAGCTATGGATCATACATTGTTAAGAAACACATGGGAAGGCATGAGCCAACCCTGCACCTCACCACAAGACTAAGGAGATCCAAAGTGGGGTTCCCTAGGGTCAGACTAAATATTTCTACTGTACTCTGTGTGAAACAGGCAGCTCCTCCTCCCTCTCCCCCTTGTGTTCATTATCCCTGCTGGTGCCTTGCTTTACCCCCCTCCCTAAAGTCCTTGTAGTGCTCCATAACCCCCCTGAACCCCACTGGCCACTCCCAGCTCTCCTCCTGCCTAGGAATTAGCCCCAGGAGGGATCTTCCTTGGCAAAAGGAAGTGGAGGCTGCTAAGGCTCCTAAGACCTCCTGTGCATTTAACTCAGCCAACAACTATGGGGTGTTCCCCCAAGATGTATACACACTTTGAATATTAATTCCAATGGGTTAAATCGAAAAGAAACATCAACTGAGCTATCAGCTTTTAGTAGTGTGTACATTTTGGGGGACACCCTGTATTTGAGTCCCTACTGTGAGCTCTCCCATGTCTGGCACCATGGACTTAGCAGTGAATCAAAAAGTCACAATGGCCCTGTGGACCTTACAGTAGGAAAGACAAGACACTCAAAACAATTATAAATGCAAGGGCTGCAAAAGAGAAGCGTTGGGTTATAGTGGGTTTTGTAGAAGTAGGGACATGGATTGGGAAACAATGTTTGCATTGAGGCCATAAAGAGGGCCAGCCTCAGGCGAAGACAAACAGTTAATAGTTTTCTAGGTACAGAATGTTCCAGGGTGGGCGGGGAGCACACAGCATGCCCCAGGAACCGACTATCAGGGTGGCTACGGAGCACAAGGCAGGAGGCAGGTGGGACAGACTGCAGGAGTATTCCGCAGTGCAACTCCTGCAGAAAGCCTTCGGAGAGTAACCCTAATCCGCCTCCAGTCCTGGCCCATCAGGTCCGGGGTCCCGTGCGCTCTGGGAGTGACGCCCCCCGCAGCAACTCAAACTTCCCGGGGCAGGGGACCGGGAGGGGTCGCTCCGTGCTCCCCTTGGCGGGGACCTGAGACACGCACACTCGCAGGGTCTGCAAACTGGCAGCGGGAACCCAACCCCGGTCTGTGTGGGCGCAACTCCGCAGTCGAGGGCTGCCCAGCGTCTTGGCAAGAAAAACTACACTCCCCACAACACTCTGCGCCTCCGACTCGCTGCGGTTGCTCATGGCCAATCCGGAGAGGTAGCTGTGGCGGGGGCCGAGGAGGGACATTTTAAAAGGGCCGGGGATTGCGGGCGTCAGTGGCCATGGCGGATACAGCGACCACAGCATCGGCGGCGGCGGCAAGTGCCGCTGGCTCCTCGACCGATGCACCTCCTTTCCAGCTGGGCAAACCGCGCTTCCAGCAGGTGAGGACCGGGCTGCGCTCGGAGGGTCCGCGGGTGGCACAGGGAGGGTGCGCGAACTCCTCTCCCAAGTCCCCTTTAGCACCGGGGTCTCGGACCCGCGGCCACCCCGGAGCCTGCGGCTACTGGATGGGGACCTCGGCCAAAGCCACTCCTTCCCCATTGGCCAGCGGGGTGAGCGAGGACCCCCACCTCGGCTGCCCATTGGCCGTCGGCGCCGTCGCTCTGCGGCTGCTCGCGCCCTCCTGCCTTTCCCCGCGGAGACGCTCTGTGATTGGCCGCTGCGGCCGCGGCCGGGGAGGTGGGCGCCGGGTCCGAGCGGTGCTGCAGGGTCGCCTGGGGCCAGGCAGCTGCCCACTCGGGGCGGAAAGTTCGAGTCCGGCCTGGAGGAGAAGCTGCCTGGGCCGAGCTGCCGCCTGCCCTTTTCCCCGGTGGGGACTGGCCGCCTTTCCGAGCTTCTGGAGGCGCCCCCGCCAGCGCCAGTGCCCCGGTCACGCTCCCAGCCCTGCACCCCAAACGGGTCCGCCGTGCGCGACGGCCCGGGCCGCGAGCCGAGGGGTCCCCTCCGGCCGGCGATTCGCTGACGTGGCGAATCGGCCGGCCGGTGCCCTGCGGCGGATGCAGCGAGGACTGGCGGGGAGAGCTGGGTGCGGGGCAAACGCTGTGTCATCCTCGTTTCTTGAGGGTGCCGCCCCGGGAACGGGCACCTTTTTCCGCCGCTGCCCCTTCTGCGAGTTTTCTGTGCCTTGAGCCTAGAGTCTTTGAGGTTGGGCTCTTTTTGTCCTGTC